AAGTGTAGGGATCTTCACAGCTCCAAAACGCTATCAACTGAAGCTGCGGATGTTTGCCCAGCTTCATGGTGCCGAGCATTACGACAAGGCTCACGCCAAGTTGTTGCAGCTCAGCCTTTGTTTTGACAGTTGCTAAGTGCAAGTGGTTGCCGTTTACTACCTACTGGCATGCCAATTTGCTCATGTCACCCGTTTGAGCTTGTTGCGGGCACCACGACTGGAACTTCCGTGGCGCCTTGAGATCTGAAGAAGCAGTTCTCCGGCTTCACGTCGCGGTGCAACACGCTTCGCGCATGACAGTGTTGTAGGGCCAAACCCAGCTGCGCAGCCCACTGGAGGACCTCAAAGGCGCCAGCCGCCACCCACTCGGGTGGCATAAAAAAATCGTTCCAATGGTCGAATCAAAGGCGACTCAAAGGCAAACACATGCGAACACCCATTATCACAACTGTCGAAACCTCAAACACTGCTTAGTTCAAAGATGACGAAACGACATGACGAAATGCGTTCATCTCATGGCTTACATTTGGTGCTCTGAAAGCACCGTCTCTCGCCTGCCCATCCGAAAACTGCTCTTCTTCGTCTCGGTGGCTCCGGATGGCGCTGCGCAGGTCCCCACCGGAGCAGTACTCCATGATCAAGCACAAGACTTCGCCCTGTTGGCAGGTGAAGACCTCATGAAACTGCGTAATCCAAGGGCAATTTCGACTGATCTTCCGCATGAGCTGCGCCTCCCGAAAGGCCGCCTCTCGTTGGGTCTCGCCGACCTCGCTTAAGGGCAGCTTCTTCAGCACGCGCTGGAGGACCTCCTTGCGGCCCTTGACCACCTCCACCAGGTAGGCCTTCCCAAAGGCTCCACGGCCCAGGCAGCAAAGCTTCCGATAGACCGGCAGGTGACATGCCAAACGCTTGGGATCGGCCAGCTGTGTGAAAACTCCGCGGTCCTCGGTCCCCTCAGCAGCATCTTGTCTTAGGAGATCCGGGTGTATGGTGGCTTGCTCCATGGCGGCATGAAGCCATCAGCACTCCCAAACCATGGTTTGGGTGTGTCTTTGTCCTTTTCCACCTATATAACTTCTAGATCATACCCATCAAAGGTGGACTTTTAAGTGATCAATATTAGTCAGCAGTGGCGCGAAAGGAGGGACTTGTTGCGCTATTGCATGGTGGAAACCTGCAGATGACTCATTGGATTTTCTTCTGCACTGAAAATCACAGAATCAATATCTGTAGCGTCTGTAGTAGATCACAATATCAGAATCATAATGATTGTCAATGATGTTCATTCAAAAGCCAGCAGGGACTCAAGGACTACTCATCTACTTCTCTTTGGAGCAACTAACATTCTTTGCTAGGCTCTGGGCTGGGCTGAGACAGCACCAGCAGCATTTGAGTTTGGCATTCATTGCCATTGCAGTCTATCTAGAATCTGGAATGGGCTGCGTGCCAAAATCCCGCAGTCATACCCTCATTGAACTCTAAAAACGGCTTGCAATGTAGCCTCCATGCAAACACGGTGGAAGGTCTGCAACAAAGGCCAAGGGCCAATCTGTTTATTCCTAGGGCCTAGGGCTCCAACTACCTCCCGAGAAGGTGGCTATGGTGGGTTTGGGGGGTCTAACCACCTTCTGAGGATATGGTTGGAGCCCTAGGGTATCAACTTGCAAGTCATTGGCTCAATCTGTCTTCTTTACAACTTTACTCAATTGAGACCACACCCCTTTAGGAGGAGTACGCTGGGTGCCGGCTTGACGAATGCGATTGAATGCCCACAATGTGGAGCAACCGTGTCCCTTATGCATCCCATAGCATCCATCAAACGATCGCTGGGAGCTGCATGTGACTGAAGGCTGACATTCGCTCCGGCATGCTGTGGCCAAACTCCGGTGAACGCAGTTTATCCCAGTTGATCAAGTTGATCCCCACCCTTCAGGACGCCCCCCTCCTCAATCAGCACCCCCAAAAAAACAACAAACCACGCAAACCAAACCAAAGCATCAGCGCATTCGAACCAAACCACCTACTGGTCACCACCTACTGCGGACCAACCGAAGTTAACGATCCCAGACCGGGCACAGACATGGGCAGCCCACGGGCGCCGTCGGTGATCACGAAGGGACGACCCTCCAAGAGGTACCTGGCGGAGCGGTGGATTCGGTGAGAGAAAGCCGTGGGTTCTCCCCTGCGGAGCCGGTGTTCGCTGCTTCTTTTCAGCTCAGGTGGGTCCAAGCAGGGCAGGTGATAGTTGGGTGAAGATGGGTGAATCAATGCATGAATCAATACCAGGGCCCCCTGTTTGTGTCTAATTACAGCTCCTAGAGGTCAAGGGGTATCCATTTACGACCCCTTAGGGGGGCCCCGGACCAAGTAGCTGCCTTCCAGCACACTCTCGGAGATGAGAAGCATCTCCAACATGCCACACATGGTCAGTTCTTGCATTGCATCTTGCGATAAACTGCACAAGAATTGGAAGGAAACTCCCTTTTGGGGTCTCATCTATAACGTGTTTCCATCAGCAACCAATGTATGCCAAAGCTTCCTTCATATTTTCTGGTCTTCCGGGTTGGACACCTTTTGCATCTGACCTGCATATCCTTCATAAGGCTTTAAGTGTCCTACACTTCTCTTGGGAAAGCAGTCTTTACACTCCGGTTCGACATGCCAAACGGATAGGCATTGGCATATGTATGGTACATTGGACAATGTGGACTGTTGATTTAGAAAGCAACATACCTACCTTACCTGGGTCAAACCATCTCCATTTTCTCCATACAATGGAGGGTTGCTCTCAGTCAACAGTCAACATGGCTCAGAAGGTCGTCACCCCACCCAGGAGGCTCCCTTTCGGCTGCCGGGCCACTTTCGAACCTCCTCGTAGCTGGTGTCCTCGGTGGAGAAGTGCCGTCACGGTGGGCACGGTGGAGGCCAAATGCCGGAATCATTTGGCAGAAACAAACCAAATTCCAATTATATACAATTGACATGGGGGAAGTCATATATTATATAGGAACATGCATTCTGTTTTCACGCTTCATCTTCTATCTATGAGGGAAACATAGGATAACTATCAAGCAGTATAGGTACAACATTGTACAACCCTGCCATTGGTGACCAAGAAGGACCTCTGTCAAACTCCAATTTGACTTCGGACTGCCTGGCCCCGAATTGGCAGAAGCTCCAGCGGTGGGGCATAGGCCGCTCCTGTCCCCGTCCGGTCCACCGGTCCGCCCCGGTCGTCTCGACCAAGGGGCGGTCAAAGAAGGGGCATCGAAGGTACGATAGTGAGCCAGAACCTCAGCAATCGTTTTGAACATCTGAGGACGAACATGCACACGTTTTGTTGAAATTGAAGGTATGGTTTATAAAAACAGGTTAAAACTAGAGTGTCCAGACGTTGGGCTTACGCACAGGTGTTCAAACATGATGAAGCCTTCAAACGGAGTTGAAGGAGAAACTGAGAACCTGTCATTTCACACTGAGGCTGGGGAACCTTGCTCCAGCCAAAACACAAAGATGAAGACTCCCATGATAGACATGTTAGCATTTGTGAAATCTTTGGTGCCGGTTGAAGATTCCGTGTTTCTTCGGTGATTTTATGGCATCAGCTGTGAAGAAACAGTGTGGTCATGCATAGGCACAGTTGATGTTCGAAGATAGAAAATGAAACTAGCACCCTCTTGAGGCTGAACTGGAGGCGACTCAGGTTATGACTTTGGTTATGTGCCATGCTGGCCGACCCCACCCGGGCTGCATTTTTGTTGGTTGACAAAAGAAGAAGAAACGATGGATGGTTCAGTACATGGTCGTGCGCCAGCACTTTCGGGCCACTACTATGCGCCACACGGTCGCTTATTACTTGATGCTTCTCCTCCTCTACCCTCCCTCCAACTGCCCATGGGTTTCATGGTCTTTCCAGGGGCCATTTTCCACTTCCATGACTGTTGGTGGGAGGGTAATTCACGAACATTGTTTGCCCTTGGTGGGGTGTTCATAGCCATTAGTGATATTTGATCCTCCAACTGTTCATGCCAAAATTCGCCGTCATCTGCCGCAGCAGCAAGAGCAGCCAGGGCAAAGCCATGCAACAAGCGCTCCATGTTGATGAACAATACGCGCTTGCGCCAACAATAGCATTCCTGTGTTGACTAAGCGTCCCCTGGGCCTTGGGCCAGACCAAAGATCGGTCCTTCCTTTTGCTGGGAGAAACCCTTGTTTCGGAAGCTTCTGCTTGCACCTGCCCTCTTTTATACCAAGACTTATGCCAAGCTATCCCAAATGGACAATCATGTTCTGCAATCTTGCTTCTACTTGGTGTGTGCTTCGTTCCAATGTTCCATCCTTCCGGGCTGCTTCTACTTGGTGTGGTAGCCTTTTGTGGCGTTCATCATCTTGAGACAATCGTGTTGTATTGATTTGATCCTTCAACATGACTTGTGACCCAGCACATGTCATTGATCCTTCAAGATGCAGCATGCTGCAACCGTGGCGACCATCCCATGAATTGTGGATGTTGATGTGGATGAATTGAACCCAACGGGGTCATGGATGATAAGACATGATAAGAAGCTTATGCAGCTCATAGCTTAGCTTACTGGATCTTGTGCTGATGCACCGCTTCTTGAAGACACACTTAATAGCATCTCCAGCTTGCAAGGAGTAGTCCCAGACCAAACCAAATTGAACATACTGATACATACTGTAAATGTATAGCAAGCCACCGCAAACACGTCCAGTGTCTTCCAGAAACAACATCACTGACGAGTCGTGCTGGCTGGACCGTCCCACTGATCCACAGCACCTGGAAGATCCACAGCAGCGCCAACTCGCCCATGCACGGCTTGACCGATCCTAAAATGCCCACTCCAGCTATGCCAACTATCGGTTTGCACCTCACCCGATCACACTGAGGTGCGATCCCCCCTGATCCACCTGGAGAGGTCCCCCCGGCATGATCCATTCACCTGTCACCATCTCAGTCCGCTAAGCGCCGCCGGGCGCACGGCCAGCATTGAGGCCGCCAAGCGGGACAACGACAGCCACAGGTGCGATGGCTCGTCCACCTCGGTGGAAACGGAGCGGTTTGTGGGGTCTGATGGGCTTCCCTCGATGGTTCCCTCGGTGGATCCGAAAAATGATTGGGATGGGGTTCCGATAGTTGGCATAGTTGGAGTCTAGGCAAAGATCATAGAATCATAGATGTACTGAATCTGAGGAAATCCAAGTACGCCAAAGTTAGATAAAGTTAGCCCATATTGTTTAAGAAGGAGTTCAAAAGCCAAGGGGGTGTTATTGAACCATGAGAACCATATGAGCACATCGTATGGCTTTTCTCAAGTCAGGTGAAGTTCCCGAGCTTCCAGGCCAATGCTTGCCATCCAGCATGCACAAGGGTGGCTGTAGGAAGGCATCAGGCCTCAGCTCTACAGCTTCCTGAGCTGTAAACACTCCAGCTGAAGATAGGTGAAGGGGGTTCAACATCTGCAAACAAATCAAACTGTTCTTTGCACTGATAAACAGGAAGACTTAGCTTTTTCAAACTTGAGACTTCCACCTTCAATGGGGGAGAGGTGGATGGGAAGAAAGTCGCAAGTCAAACATGCTCAGTTCAATCCACCCCATGTTCTTGGGCAGACCTTCTGTCTACCTTTGCTTCATCTGTGGAACTGACCTCGAACCAGCGTCAAATGGATTCGGATCGCTGATTCCTGGGAGTCCCTGACCCTCCTGGGAAGTTCAAGATCTCTGCAGGGAAGCCTAAGGCCACCTAGCATCGACCCATCTGGCAGTTACAGTGCATCTCGAGAATGCAGTTTCCACGCTCATGCGACTTCGCCCAGGTGCGTGCCACAAACAGGGGGACGCGTGACTACGTTAACATCACTTGCGAGTATAGTCATAGTCCTTTCCTCTCAGGACTTTCGTAGAGTAGAAAAAAAGAAAAAGGAGCAGTCACGACAGTCTCGAACAAAGACATAGAGAGCACGTGACAGCACAGGCTCCCGCCTCCTCGAACGAGACTTTCATGTGTGGTGGCGCCAAGGATTTCAGCCAGGCAAGCTCTGCCTGGGTGCTGCCATTGGTGTGGAAGATGACCTCAACTCGTGCGTGGCGTGGCGTTGTTGCCCGCGCGCAAGAACCAAAAGGATCCAAAAGGCAACGCATGCAAATACCCTCACGATTTCATGTGGTTTCATGCTTACTCCTTTGGCCGAGTGACCACGGGATAGTGCCAAAAGAATCGGGCCAAACATCGCAAGGACAGGCCCAAGTCTTTGTGAAGGGAACGATCCGCATTCTCCTGGCGTGGCTGTGAAGGGTCGATCCGCTGCCCGCTCTTCCCGGTGACTGGTCAAGCCTTCTCGGTACGGCTGGCCGCATGGTTTGGCACACCAAGCGTTTCACGGACCGGTTTTATGGGGGGCCGATGTTCAGCATCAGCATTGTGTGGCCTTGGGGACTTGCAGCGTCCATCCACACTTTTAGAGTTTGCGTGTGCGACTCACAAACTCACCGAGCTGCGCAATGTCCATGTTATTATACAGCATCCCAAAATACAGCCAAGTGCACTTCATCATACAGCGACTGCCATTGAATTTGTTGCATACATCATTGGTGAACACGTGACGGGGGGCTCAAACAATTACACACGTTGCCAAGGCCTTGCACATCTTGAAAACAACTTGTGGATTGGAAGTTTGATTACATTGGCTGTGCCCCAAGGAGACCTGGCATGTTCATGCAGGTTTGATTGACCGCTCAATCGGATCAATCAAGTCAACTGCCACTGCTTGACCACCGACTCGTGCTGCTGAGGGGCCATGAGCAAGTAGACCATCACAGCTCTGAGATCATGTTGATCCAACCTGGAGCTATCCTGAGCTGGAGGCAATGGAAGAAACCAGCTGGCTCCATAATTATCAATAGATTGTTGGATTTTTTCTGATGTAAGGTATTGACATTTCATTGGTGCCTACGCCAAGCCTGATATAAATCAACAACTCTGCTCAATTAGTTCGCTGTTCAGGATGAAGCAGGAGTGCTCTTCCTTCTGCTTGTGGGGTCGAATCGTCGACCCTTGACAAGTCTTATCTTGCTGCTAGGGATTTGAAACACCCTGGGAGCTGCGTTCGGGACTATAGGAAGGTTGAATTGTCTTGGTGGAGGGGAACAATCGTGGCAATCGTCCCTACACTCCTAAGAGCTCCTTACTAAATACATGGCCTTTGTTTCAATCAATGGCTGAAACATTGGCAACCCAGTTTCTGGACTGTCGCTCTTAGGAAGACTCAAAATAACAATAATTGCACCAGGGGAAATTGTTAGTCAGGTGTGTCTATAAACCGCCTGGAGTGCTGGTATATGCACTATCGTCACCCCACGACCAAATCCTGCTCAACATCCCGACATCCTGCCACTGGGTGGCAGTCCGAGCAACTCCTAACAGCAAACCACCCGAAATACTCACTGTAAAAGTATAGTTGGCTGAAACATGCTGAAACCATGCAAACATCTCGCTTAAGTGGCAGTCACTACGCAACAAAGAGGAGATCCGTGGCTTATGCCACCTCCCGTTCTCACCCCCTGGGACACTCCCGGTCGAGCGACGCGCTGGTTCAGCGCGTGGAGCTCCTTCTCGTAGACCCGGCGTTGGTTCCGCGCCTCGAGGCCTCGGTCTCGACCGAGAAGACTCGGTAGAGAGCCGGCCAAACACAGTTCATCACATGGTAACCTGGTGGAGACCGTCATTTTAGTGGGGATGCGGGGACCAGTGGAGACCGTCATTCGATCCAACACGTGGTGGGCCGGAATACGGTCATTCGGTTTGGCACTTATTAAGGTTGGAAGGATGTCCGCATGTCAGCTTGTCATCTTCAATTGCGGCTTGCGAATAGGTTCAGGTCAACAGCTGCTTGTAGACCGAAAACCACGGGGTCTCAGCCGTGCAGAGAATCTGCCTAGCCGCTTTTGTCCACGTAGTACTCCAGGCATTCTTGCACCAGGTCATAGCCATCGTACTCGATAGACATGCTGCCATTCTCCCCCTCGGAGCAAGTGATGGTTTTCGAGCACGGAGCGGCCAGAGATGCGGAGGCAATGATGGGAGCACTTCCCAACCAGGTGATGAATTGATTGGGGTTATCCTTTCTTTGCCTGTGCCATGGTCGGACTGACCAACCATGGCACAACCAGGCAAAGAGCAGGTAGCCTTCGGCCTGTCTCAATGAACAAATGTGCCCACACCATTTGCCATCATTCAGTTGCTTCATGTTGCTTCTAGAAGCAACAGCTACCGGCAGACCAGAAGAATTCTCTACAAGCGAGGGTGGGAGCCTGCATGAACAAACGTCTGTTTCCCTCTGGAACCTTGGACCGACACTATCTGGCCAAACGACCCCCGCATGAAGCAAGCTACACCTATACTATTATGTAAGAAAAAGCACCTATCTGGCACCGCCTTTCTTTAAGGATTATTGACATGGACATCAATAACATCAACAAAACATATACATTTGAATACATTTGACCTTTCTTTCACTGCAATACGTCGTCCGAACCACCGTCTGTGGCTTCATGCGGGTTCGAGACCGTCTCGCCGTCTTGCCGCGGAGCGTCGATCTGAATCTGGGGAGCCGGGAGGTTTAACCTCGGTGCTGGCCGCATCGGAGCCCTGGATGGTCTGCCAGACCTCCTTCTAGCAGGCTAAGGGACACCAGCCTTACCCCAGACCAGCCATTGGTCTACGCCAATGGCACCTAAATGAGGATGCACCCCAGTGCCAGCAGCAACACGGAACATGACTTTGTAGGTGGATTGTCCAATCTTCCATGTGCCTCATGGGTGGTTGTAGCAAGCGAAAGAAGAACACATTCACATGCATACCCTGTTGTATTGAACATCAATATCTACTTGGAGAGAAACCATTCCCGAAAGAAAAAAACCAGGCCTGCAACCCACACATTGGGAACTACTCATTTCTCACCCCCCCCTGCACCTGGCTGAGGCTATGTGCTTGCGATCTCTAAGGCTGTGTCTCACCGCCACCAAGGCCGCTGCTCCTCCTCTTGTCGCACCCGTGTGCCCCTCCAGTAAGAAGCCGCCCCAGCCGCTGCGGAGGCCTCTTCGTCTTTCGCCTGGCCGGGTCTGGCAGACTGGCGGTATCTGAGCCACGACACCGAAAGACTCACACGAACTGGGTGCAGGGAAGTCATGTCACTTGCTTATGCATCAAATTTAAAGAACACAAAGAAAAAACAACTTCACTTCACTCAACGCATCTTATGAATTCTTATGAGGTATGACTCAACGCAGACTTGTCGTGTTCATCCCCAGTTTCGATGAACACCATGCTCATGACGGGAACAAAGCCACACGACTTGGCGCCCTCCAACAAAAGCTACCAACACCTACCAATACCATCAGGTTGCGCATGTCATACAAAGGTGCCACTCCAGTTGTTTCTCAGAGAGATAGCCCACTGGCGACGCGTGATCTTTCTCACCCGGCGCGTGCGCAACGTGGCACGAACGGTCATCCACATCGCCAAGTGAACCGACTCCCCGAAGGCCACTCCGCCAGCTAGTGCCGCAGCCACCCGTGTCAATGCCATCCATCTGACGCAAGAAAATGCGCATGGCCACATGGCCCTGGCAAGCATGAAGGAAGCACCAGGGAAAGGACCACAACAAATTGACAAAGCACTTTGACTGTATACTATGTACAGCCAAATTCAATCTTCCTTTCAAGGTACAAGTATCGTCAATTTAGCCTCTTGCCCCTGTGTCAAGCAACCTCTCTCATTCATTACATGTATATATATATATAATTATACAATTACATTACAGTACATATTGTGATCATATGTGTACTGTGTAATTCTGTGCTAAGACTACGCGCTCCAAATGTCCATCAAATCACAACGCGATGAAGCGTAGTCCGGCAAATAGACAAACACTTTACCACCAGCATCTACACAAACCAATACAGTCTGTTCCCTGGGGCAACATGCGGCTTTTCAAGACATATTATCAAAACAACCCCCAAATACTCCCAAGACACTTCTGCAAGAATTTAAGGGCATGGCTTGACATCTATGCCCTCCGGGACTCTCTCGCTGCCTCACAGCCGACGCCGCTTCCGACTCTGCTTCTGCTCGGAGGGAGCTGCGGACGGGAAGAGCTGCTGCACCAAAGCTGGAACATGGCCGCCTTTGAGCTGAGCCTGGTTGACAAGAAATGACTACAAAACATGGAACGCCCAGCCAACCAAATGTTTCGAGAGGAACAGCTTTCAGAAAGGACTGAGGAATGCAAATTTGAACAAGAAGTTGAGGGGGGCAAGGACAAGAAAAGGTGCAAGGAAAAAAATAACAAACACCGGAAATACACACAAGAAGCAACTTCCAACACCTGACGCAATGCTGGTCACAGCGTGCGACATGCTCTTACCAATAGCCAAAACATGTTTGAACCGATGCATGAATGAAACAACGTGGCTTCCGAAAGCTGCAAGCTAAGCAGTGAGCCCGTGCAATGCTTGACACATGAAAAAAAATTATAGACTCTAGAGGTCCCATTGACACATTATGTCACATCTCCAGGGCCAAGTGCTGCCACTCGCAAACACGAACCGGCCATGTCCAGCTAAACGCTCGCGCACGCGGAGAGGAAAAGAGCATCTCCCAGACTCCCAGCTCAATGCGAGACCATCGCGCCAAACAAGTTCTTTGAGCCCAAAGAATCCTACCGAAATTGCCTTTAATCCTCCCGGAGAATCGTCATGGATCAAAGGATGCCCCACTAAATTGCCTTTGATCCCATCGAATGCCTCTTAGCAAGCACGTTCCCGGCAGCCTGCACAGCACGAGATTCAGCTCCAAACTTCTGGGAAGTGGCTTTCAAATTCTCCAAGCCCTCAGTGCGAAGGTGTTCCCGGAGAGCCCGAAACCGGCTGAGTGCTTGGTGGGGGAATTCTGGGCGGCTCGCAAAACTGCAGCAGTGCCAGGCCAGACTTCAATCGCGAAACCGCAAAAACAATCCTTTGAACATCTTTGAATGAATGCCCGTAACCAGCCACTGTCCAGTACAACGCCACGCAGGAAGTCATTGTCATCCTTGTTTTCGTTGCATGCGGCAAATAGAAACCAACCATGGCAACGGAGATCTGATGACTGGTAGCGATTCATACCAGGCCTATGGAGAACATGCCTCATGCCGGTTCTGTCACCTCTTCGTTTAAGCCCTTGCCTTCAATACAGCTTGCTCTGCAATCTCTGAGAAGTTGGCATCGGTGATCATGCCTGCTTGCAAGTACCAACATGTGGTGGAGAATCCAGAACACCCCAGGAACACCAACACAGCAAATGTAGCTTTGCCACTTAAGGGAATAATGGCCAGGCAGTTTCAATGTATCTTTCTGAGCACGTACACTGCTGGACATTAGCCTGGCAAATTTGTTCAGAAAATAAGGTTAACAGTTATATAATCACAACTGGGTCTATATGTTAAATTGCACATGTTTTGGCTCCAGCCCCAAAATGTCAAAGCTGAATCTGTTTCACCTGAACCCGACCAAACAAAGAGACACGCAAACAGACAACCAATACAAAGAAAAAGCAAGGGATGCAAGAATCAGCTAACTAGTTCCGGCCATGGCCTTGAAGCAAGTCCCCGAGGATGGTGACCACAACATCCACTTGCCATCGGTGAGCTATGTCCAAAGCCTGCAAGGTGGTCTTGTAGCCCGGCTCGTTCTGTGTGGAGCAGGTGTACAGAATCCTGGATTTATCCAGGCTAAAAGCTCACACGTCAGCATACTGAATATTCAAAACACATGCGTGTTTTAAGGCTTTTGCTTCGGCATCTCCACCTAAGCCTTAGTGCAACCGGGCTACTCTAAGAAGAGCGACACTGCACACTTTGGAACGTCTTTGACTTGAATGCGTTGAGCTTGCCCTTCCTTCATTGGCGACGCCAACATAGCACTTATCACAGCAGATGCTCCTTTAAGCATCTGAGCATGAGCTGTGACGACCCCATCAGTCGCTTCGATGGTCAAGTCATGTGAGGTGTTGGCCACCAAATACTTCTCCCAAAGCTCCACGATGCCCTCATGCACTGAGACTCTTGCATGTTCGGCGCTGGGGACTGTGCTAGCAAAACAGCAAAGGACCTTTGTAAGGCAGCTTAGTTCCACGGACAGCTGTTCCCGGAAATCATAATCGCCGTCGTCCAACCTTTGCAGCCAAGCCTGGACATATGAAATGGCTGAGTGACCGGATGTGTCCACCTTCATCTAAGTAATTTTGTCTGTTACCCCGTCTGTTGAAAAGCCCCATTCTCCTGTTGCGCACTTTTGCGAGACACTTGCCCCATGACCAATGAGCTTCTGAATGATGGGAAAAAAGTGCGCGCTCAACACTGGGATCTCTCAGCAATATGTTCACGCATTGGACCAGGACGGTGTACCCATCCGCAACATGTCGCTTGCTCCAATCCACAGAATGTAGATTGAGCTTCTTTATGCCGTCGATCCATTCCAGTCCATTGCCTTTAAGGCCAGCATCTAGCAAAGCCCACAGAAGCTCCGTCTGCTCCATGTTGGCCCAAAAGGCCAAAGTTTCTATTGTGTTGCAGTTTGGCTAAAATGAAAGGCCTAGTACAGCAACATACTGCCACACAAATGTGCAGTCACATGATCACATGATATCACATGCATTGGTTGCCACACGCTTTGCATTGGCTGAGAAAAGGCCAACAAAAAGGCTAAGGAGATATGGCTGCAGCCACTAAATCACTGGCAGATCTGGAAGTTCTCAAATCTATTGTCAATCTAATTAACAACACATCTTTGCTGCCCGCCTGTCTGATGGACACATCTTTTTCTGATCACATCTGATCTTTACTCTGTTAATTACCTTGAGTTGCGTCCAGCCAAGGCTGCACCTCTCTTTCAACATCTCTCCACTGGCTGCACCAATCCCCTAGGCGCCTCCCCAAGTGCCCAAAGCAGCCAAAGCACCGGCAGCATTCGCCATGAAGGTCGGCTGCTGCCGCTGCCGGCCAACCGAAGCTTGCCCTCTTACACCGTCAATCTGTGAAGACGTGACAGGCAAATCCCGAGCACTGGCAAATGTACTGGCAGATGGAAGTACATCAGGACCGGCGCTGCTTTTGGGGGGTGCGTAAGTAAGTTTATTCCATACATGGAGTGTTTGGGTATGAGACGCCCGGAGAAAAAAAAAAAAACACATTTGCAATGTGGCATGTAGGATCATATCACTGATCATCTATAGGCTATAGGTCGCAAAAGGTCATAAATTGTCATAGGACCTGATGGCTGACATCCCATGCCACACCCTTTGAAGGACGACTTGGTCGATCTGCCCATCCTCCATCTCTTTTTCTGGAAGGTTTGCTGTCGGAACCTATGTGGTCAAACCTGTCGAAAACCAACCTTATCTGACAATATCTGACATGAATGATTCTTAGATGATTCTTCGTTTTTGAATCCAAACGCGATCGAACACGCATGCATCTCCGCAGCTGAACTCTTTGCCGCTAAGGCAGGTGTTGTTTTACTCTAATTAGAGACTCCAATGCTTGATGAATGCGTGTCTGCCGTGTCTGCCCCATCCATCCGTTGAACTGATGACTAGTGATGACTAGCATCTGTTTACCCCTTCTTGAACGCAGTTCCCCTTCCAGGAGCTCCGGCAGCACGAGACATGGCAACACATCCTTCGCGATTGATCACCAGTCGAGGGTTGTCATCCCCCCTTCTATGCAGGGGGACCAACTTCAGTCCGACATCGCCTCGGCAAGACCGGCGCCGGTTTCTTGCCCGAACTGCGCCCGCTCGTCCAACGGGGCGAGACAACGCGAGCGAACGTCGTCGAGTGGTTTTAACGAGAAACAGGTGAAACGGTCCTGATTGAACGTTCCGGCACATGGAACCTTTGTACATATGTTTGATCATGAAATGCGATGGTGCCGGTTTCCCTGGATGTTTAAGAGCTCAAAGAACCCAATGTTCACCGATTGGAAGGATTGTGTGGTTGGTTGAAAACGCACTGTTTCCACTGGTCGACCAAGTAAACCAGGATGCCTTCAGCTCCCAAAGTCAGATCTGAAGAAGTATAAGATCTTGGAAGGTCCACTTTGAAGAAGAAATGTAACGGGGCACTGGCACGGAGGGTTTTTTTTGCATCACAAGGTGAGATCCATCAGTTTCTGACTTCCTTCAAGTTTGTAGAGTCAACCAAACCCGACCAAAGCAAATCGATCACCGCATGTCACCTCCCTGTTTCCCTGCGGTCAGGCGATAGAAAGCTCATCTTTCTCTTCCACAGGTGTTATCCAATGGCTTCCTGCTCTCCCAACGGTCTATGATCGTACCGGTCTCGACTGACGGGAGTCAGCTGTTTCCATACATCATCTTCATAAGCCATCTTTAGGTATATAACCTGTTTCACACCTGGTTACCTTCCCCAATCAGAAGACAGTTGAACGGTTATCCATGGTTCTTCGATCACGACCCCGGCAGCATGGTCAGATCGCACTTTCGATGCGATCGCGGTTTCCGGAACCAGCGTAGATCTACGTTTGAGCAGGCAAAACCTGGACATTGAAACATCAGTTGCTAGGCTTGGCACGAGGAATGGACCTGAATTCATTGAATTTTCGCCGTCACGTCACGAGGACTCGGAAAAAGCCTCAACGATTCCAACTGAAGTTGGTGATACCTTGGGTCTATCCTAATAATCCTAATACCTGTAACAGTGGATGATGATGGTTAGGTTAGTAAAGGCCTGGTTCAAACTCGTGATGTAATTGCTTACCTTTGCGTATACTGACTGTTACAGGTTGGAAGTTCGGACCCAAGTGATACCTGTATATATATATATATACTTGATGCCTTTCATTCAGACCCAAGACTCCAAGGACTCGAAGGCAAGGTGTGGCAGGCGAGAGCATCGCCGGTTCCGCTCGGCTGCAGCCGACGGCAGTCGTCCAGTCACAGACCGACCGCCTGTCCAGTCGTCCCAAACACTCCATGCATGGCATATGAATCCATACATTGGGATGGTTGACTCTGGCGTCAATGGGGCGGTTATGGTCCCAAACAGCGACAGTGGGAGTGCTTGGGATTTGATTGGGGGCACGGCACGTCCCCAGTGAACGGGACCTGGTACCATGCCCTTGTGCCACTTCTGCCCTAGTGGGGCTATTTGGATTCCAAAATGCTAGGAACTGCCAGGACAATCCCTCGGATTTCCGACGTTCAACGCCTTGGGGAAAAAAACAGAGATCCGTCCCCGATCCGCGCAGCGGGTACGGCAATGGCTGAAGTCAGGACCATTCTTCATCAGATCTGCTTTGAATCATCGACATCATGTTTAAGACCTAGCCCAATCAAGCCACTGCTTCAGCACGCGGCATTAGCCGACAAAAGCTTGTTTCAAGCAAAGTGTCGCGTCTCTCGCGACATGTTCAGCCCAATTGGGTATGACGATCAGCTCACAGTTGACCTGGCAAAGAGATTCACTTCGAATTCCTATAAGGAGACAGGAACATATACTGTATACATGTGGGCAATTCTCACACAGCGTGCTGTGTTGGTCACGGATCTTTTTCCATTCTTTATGCGCACTGCAGATGCTTCCTGCTCATTCGCTATGCATTTGCAGGCCTTGGCGTGAAGCGCCCCTCAAGGGTGGAATCCCCAGAAAGCCGTCCGAGCCAAAGAGTCAGGCACCTGGTGTCTGCTACGGCAAATTCCAAGCATCCAAGCATAGGTCGACCAGTTGGCAAATGTTATCTGTTCCTTCTAGTGTTAAAGTGTTAACATCTGTAAATTATTGGCAGTCGGCAGTGTAATATATGATTACATATGAGTGTCTGTATCGGTGCTTATTGTTTCTTTTTCACCATTATGTGTTCCATGGCCATGGCCCTTTGAACAGTGAGCCATTGAGATGTTTAATGATGCTTCTCGAAATGCATTGGATGCATGTGTTGCACCCTCTGCACTCTCCAAGTAACTTGGAAAGAGTGACATTCAAAAGGCTATGCCGGGGTTGCAAAGGACTGGGCAGCTATCGGCCCGCATGGAACTTCACATCAATTCATGCAGCACCACAAAAAAAGCCATGTTTCTAGACAGGTTCGAGTCAAACAACAGAACTATCCAAGTTTGAAGAGTTTCATGCGGCCTTAGGTTCATACAGAACTTGTGGAAACTCATCGCGAAGCAAGTCTGCACTGTATTGAACTAGACTGACAATTCCTCGAATGAGGGCGTCTTTCATGCACAGTGACATTAGGCAAATCTCATGCTTAGGAGATGCTGCTCGGGATACTGCCAACTCTGAATCTGATTTTTTTCAAACGCTAGCGTGCTGAAGCAAGGCATTCCTTCAGCAAGCACAGAATTATCGAAAAAGGCAAGCGAATTCAACAGAGTGGCATTTCTTGAGCCTACGGAGAAAGGCTAGAAAATCTAGTGGTGCCCTAGGGGCAGCGCTATGTTGCAGCTTGGTCCCTACCTGAAAACCTGTGATAGCACCTTCAGATGAGTCACAGAACTTGCAATAGCCCCAACCCAATCATAGCAAATGCCTGGCATCTCACTCCTGCATCTATTGGAAGATCTGAAAAATGTAACCGTCTATCCGGCACGGAGGTGGTAATGAGGGAGTCTTCTTCGCTTGAGTTTGTTGAATTTGCAGTGTCATTGTCCACTCCAAAAGCAGCGACCCGCAAATTGTGTCTAACCCATCTTCCAGAGCGGGTCAACTTGGAAAGCGGCCAACGGCCATTTCCAGCGGCTCTGGGTTTGAGTGCTGAGCAAGATTCCCGCTTGTCATTGACAGCCCAATTCGCATCTGACAGATTGTACTCGTCCATAAAATCCATCCATTTTTTGGGATTCTCTCAAGTCCAACTTGCCATTACCATTGGCCTCACACGTGCCCCACTCCGAGACGAACAAAGCGACCCCACCATCCAGGGCAATCTTGGCTTTATCTCTGAGATATTGCCCATGTGTCGCGGCGTAAAAATGCAAGGTATATGCGATGTTCTCGCCTTCGACCGGCAAGCGGGACGCCACGTCCACATCTTGCGACCAGGTCGGAGTACCGCAAATCACCAGGTTTGACGAATGTGGCCGAATGACCTTCAAGAGTTCCTCATGGTAGGGCTTCAAATCCTTACTCCAGCTCTGCCAAGTAGGTTCATTGAAAGTCTCGAAAAGAACATTCGGCAAGTGGCCGTAGCTCTTAGCAATTTCAC